TGAGAAAAAGTTTTGCTAACAGGCAAAGTTGGAAAATTTTCAAAGCAGCATGTGAATCAAGAAATAATTATAGTTGGGAATATCTTAGAAAGCTATTTTTAGTTTAGTAAAGTTACATCACTCGTGCTTTTGAAGTATATAAAGCTCATACCTTGTTTATCTATAATTAAGTCAAGACTCTTCTTAACTCTTTCATTGCATAGTCATTTTAAGGGTCATTAAAAAGCATCATGTGTTCAATGTACTTCCTCAGTGTGGAGGTGAAGAGGTTAAGGACACTCTCAGGTAAAGCAAACTATCTGAGTTAGGAACTTTGCAGAACCCCTGAGGTGAAAAGGCCCCAATTCAGTAGGATTTTGGCCTGTGTTTTAAGTGATGTTTAAAATGTTGCTGACTTATGCAAAGAAGGGAGTGTAACAGTGAAGAAACTATGAACTAGGGTCCTACCCTCCCTGACTCACCACTTCCCCTGGCCTGAAACCATTCCACTTCCTTTTCTGCTTTGCTTCTACCATGGGGCATATTATGTAATGGAACCAAGGCATATGAAGGGAAATGGATTAATGTTCCTGTGTAGAACAGAATAATTGGCCCCAGCATTATGGTGTAGCAGGTAAAGCTGTCAGCTCTGACAACAGCATCCCATTTGGGTGCCAGTTCACGTTCTGGTTGCTCCATTTCGGATCCAGTTTCTTGCAAATGGCCTGGGAGAGCAGTGGAAGGGTCCAAAACGCTCAGATGCCCTGCCATCCATACAGGCTACCCAGATGAAGCTGCCAGCTGAGAGCTTTGGCCTGGCCCAGTACTGGCCATTGAAGCCATCTGGGGAGCAAACCAATCATGACAAAATCTTGATCTCTCCCTCTGCATTTTTTGACTTTCAAATCAGTCACTGTTTAAAAAAGATGATAAAACAAAGACAGTGTAGAAATAATGAAAGAGAAGTTTTCCAATAAAGGAAAAGGAACAACCTGCAAAATGAAGACGAAAGGATAAACTAAAGAAAAAGAAGACATTTTTCTTCTCTTTAATCGTTCAAGAGAAAGGGTATTTAGATCTAACCCTTGAAAGCCTCTTTAACCCTATGTAAGTTTAAATGTTCCAGTGAGGTCCTGGTGATTTCCTTTGAAGTCTGTTTTACAGCCTCAGAGCGCATATTCCTCTTTAGTTTCTTCGTGGTGTTTACAATTTTTATAAATCTTATTTCATTTTTATACCACATACTGTAATCCCTACGGATCTGCTTACTTTTTAACCAAAATATTTCCTTGAACCTGCATCTCCTCGGTGTTATCTTCTCCAAAGATCTTCCAAATAAGGACATTTGCACTCTGCAGGCTTTGAAGATGAGGTCAGCCAAATACAGTGGGGAGATGAGGTCTCCAAGTCGAGGCTTCCTTCCATGATGGCGGGGTCAACAAAGCCTTTTGACACGAATTAGATAAACTTGGATGCCGATTTGCAGAGCTGAGTAGGACATATTAGGACCGGGAATACAGTTTGGAATTCTTGAAATATGGCTATCAACTCTTAACCACTTCATGCTTGGGCCTCCCATCACGCCCTGCTCATCTATATGCAGGAAGCCCTTAGAAGCTCCTTAAAACTGCGTTCATAGTTATGTTACTGCATCAGAATTTCCATCCCACCCACACGAGGGAGCAACTGCAGGTTATTTTGGATGCACTACATTCAATTTGGGTAGCCAATGAAATCAGGATGAAAAAGTTCATTTTCGTAAATGTTCAGTTTCTTTTCACCCACACTTTATGTTCAGCATTCCTTACGATTTAAGTCTTTATTAAATACCGCCTTTGAATATCTTAAGTTCTGGTTTTAAAATGATAGATATAATTGTTTTGCTGAAGTTATTTTGAATTTTCCTTTTTTTAGTATTTTCTTACTTTTTTGGCATCTCTCTGTTTAACATTATCTGTGAATTTAGTCAGAATTATTTATTTCCTTTGGTTATATATCAACACTAACTCCTGTAGATGCCTCTAAGTAGATATATTATAGTTGGTTTTACTAAATTGTAATTCACTCTCTAATTCCTTAAGAATTAGAGACTTAAGACATGTATTTAGATCAGGAAATTTAGGAGCTTGAATTCATGGAAACATGGAAGTAAAATCTGATGGAAAAATAATAGCAAGAAAGACAGCACGAGACTATAAATGAAAGGGTGGTAAGTCAAGGTATGTGGGAAAAAAGGGAACAGATAGAAATAAAAGAAGTAGAAATGGCAATCCTTTTTGGAAGGGAACGGTTATTGAAGGCTCATTTGAGAATATGGAAATACACAAAAGCAAACAATCAAGATCTGACTATAATGTTACAATGCAGATACACAAAATACCTGAAAATATCTCATAAAAATACACAATAGTATCTTTGGATGAAAAAGAGTGTCAGCTTTAGAGCTGAGTGTAAACTAGGTAAGATACTGGCATTATTCAGATGTATACAGTAGATGCTTACTACTTGCAGTTTGTGAAGGACACAGATCTGCTTAAGGCAGGGTGCTGAGGATCCTTACAACTGCCTGAGGCAGTGGGGGAGACTGCAGGCTGCATGAACAGCGTCAAAAATATTCATGGAAAAAAAAGATATACATGGATTGCAAATATTTTTGGCCTAAATAACTTATCTTTAATCCTCTCTTCTGTGAACTTTTTAAAGAACTTTCCTCTGCAAGTTTTGCCGATCTTATACTCCAAAGTCTAACTAGAACATACCAATGTATAATTTATGTTAGGCTTCTTTAAGTGCCGAAGACTTTCCACTAAGGGAGGCAATTCTGTAATTAGAGCGAGCCTGACCGAGGCGCACAGGTAAAATGCTGGTGTGTGCGTTTTTGGAGTTGAGCAATGAAGGCAGAGCTGGTGGTGATCTATCTGCCTGCAGGGCTGACGGCGGTGCCTGGGGCGGCAGTGCCGCAGGACTGGGATGCTAACCTACCATAGGTTTTGAAGTGCAGGCTATGCGAGGAGCTGGGGGAGGGGATGTTTGTGGCGTTTACACATCAGTGTGCAGACTAAGTGATGGGCTAGTCTAACTGGGAGAGACTAAGTTTAAAAGGGAAAGGAGAGCTCTTGTCAGGTGGTTGAGGAAAGAGGTAGGCCGACACTCAGTACTACTGACCTACCTCGTTCTTTCTCATTCCTGACCTCCTTTCCAGAATGGAGCAGTTGAGCAATCCAGTACCTGCATCTCTTAAACAGCCATCTAAGGAATAATAATGACATGCGACCTCTCTTTCAGGAGCCTCTTAAGGTATTGTATATCTCCTTTATGATTAGCATTCTATAGTACATTGCTTCTTTTTTTAAAAAATGTGTTTTTAAAAAGATTTTATTTTTATTGGAAAGCCATGTTTACAGAGAGGAGAGGCAGAGATCTTCTATCCGCTGGTTGACTTCTTAAATGGCCACAGCGGCCGGAGCTGAGCTGACCGAAGACGGGAGCCAGGAGCCACTTCTGGGTCTCCTAACAGGGTATAGGGTCCTATGGCTTTGTGCCATTCTCAACTGCTTTCCCAGGTCTAAAGCAGGGAGCTGGATGGGAAGTGGAGCTGCCGGGATTAGAACCATTGCACTTAAGGGATCCTGGCGCTAGCAAGGTGAGGATGAGCTAATGCAGCCATCGTGCCGGGCCCAGTATATTGGTTCTTAAGTGGACATCCACAGGAGGGCTTCTTACACGGATTGCTGCAGTTTGATTCAGAAGGTATGGGGAGTCCATTTCTAACCAGCCTCTAGGACGCTGCTGGCTGTGCCTCCACGCTGAGCCCTCAGCCCCTGACTGCTCTACTCTGCCAGGTGGTACGTCTTTTCCCTGAGTTTCTGTCTCACAGCTCCTTGCCTTCCCCAATGTGCTTCCTTAGTGTTTGGTCATCCTTAGGAAACACTGATATGGAAGAACAATATTCAATCAGACTAGTGAGAGATCCACTGCCCTGCAGAGAATTTAAATTCGAAGAGCAGCTTTTGAATCCGAAAGGGAAAAGCTACCCATACATTAATTTCAGAGTAATGAGAGTAATCCCTCCATGTTTATGAATGTGTATGATTAACCTTTGACATTTGCAGGCTCGACATCTGAGGAACCAACCAATGCTGGGAGAAAAATAATTAAAAAAAAATACAAATAGTTTACAAACATTTGCTTTTATTTCCACAGCAACACAGTCTAGCAGCTGTTTACATAAACTTACATCGTGTTAGTTACAAGGAATTCACAGGAGTTGCCACTACACCGTTTTTTTTTTTTTAAGGTTTTTGAGTATGTTTTGCAGTATTGATGGAGGTCCCAGAATCAGAACGTAGTAGTTCATCTGTATATATTTTTAAAACAACAACAAAAAACCCCGTCTCTTCGGATGTTTCAAGGGTATGCTTCATCTGACTTTTTTGAAATGCCCTCGGTTCTGGGCCTGCTGAGGGGGCTCCACAGCGGTGGATCGCGGCCAGGTGAGGGCACAGGTGCAGCGGTCAGCGGCCCTTCCCCACACCTCTTCACCGAGTACACCTGTGATGGCACCGGTGTAGGTGGTGCAAACCAGTCCGCCCAATCGCGATCCTTCCCTTCCCCGCGTCTTCCTGAGCTCCAGAACCCGGCCTTGAAACACATTTTGCCCGCGTGGAGGTCACACAGCGTTGCCCGGGAAGCCACCGCCGGGACGCTGACAGCAGCAGCCTCCGGCCGGCCCGCGCACCGGCGGGTCTCCGGCCTCAGGGAGTTAAGGATTGGGCGGACGCCTCCCTTCCCCGTCCGAGCCCCGCGGGGCTGCACGCGCGCCGGCAGGGAGCCCCACGAGGGAGCCGGGCCGCGCTCGGGGCGCCCGGGGCGTGCGGGCCGCTCCTTCCCTGGCCGCTCTTCCCTTTCCTCCCGCTCCGCCCCGCCCCGCGCCAGCGCGCCTGCGCAGCCCCGCCGCCCTTCCTCCCCGGCTCCGCCCGCCTTTCTCTCCCTCTCCCTCCCCCCGCCCCCGGCCCCTCAGCTCCCCGCTCCCCTCTCTCGCTCGGGTTTCACCCAGGGCTGCAGGTAGTGAGCCGCCCCGCCGTGTCCCCGCCCCTGCTGCCCACCCCTCCCGGCTCCGGGCGCGGTGGAGGATGAAGCGGCGGCCGCGGCTCGGTGGCAGGCAGCGGCCCCGGCGGCGGTGGCTGCGGCGGGGGCGGCCGGAACTCGGGTGGTGAAGGAGCGGCGGGCGGCTGAGGGAGCGGCGGCGGCTGAGGGGAGCGGCAGCCGCCCCGGCCGCTTCCCCCTGGGCTTCCCTTCCTCTTGGGCGCAGCCAGGAAGTTTTCCGCTTGTGTGCGTGTGTGTGTGCGCGAGCGTGAGTGAGTGTGTGTGAGGTGAGGCCGGGGCCGGCGTTGGTGCCGGCGTCGGGCTCTTTTTGCCCACTCGGCGCTCCGTAACGCCAGGCGCCTCCCGAGCCGGGGCTGTGGCCCGAGGAGGGGGCGCGGCGGCGGGCTCCGTCCTTTTGTTGTTGTTTCCTCCGCCTGGGGAGCTCGAGGGGGGCCGCGCCTGGGTGGGGCGGCTCGGAGCCCGGGCCTGCCGGCCCCCGGGGCTCCCGGGCGGGCTGGGAGGGCTGAGCGGAGCGGGCTTCAACATGATGGCCGCCGAGGCCGGCGGTGAGGAGGGCGGCCCCGCGGTGGCTGCGGGAGCCGGAGGCGGCGCGGCGGCGGGCTCCGCTGCCTTCCCGGTGGTGTGCCGGGTCAAGATGCCGGTGGCCGCCGCCGCCGCCCCCTACCCCGGGCCGCTGGAGGCCGGCGTGGCCGCCCTGGGCTCGGGCTTCTTAGGCGGCGGGGCTCTGGGGGGAGCGGGGCTGACAGGGGGAGGCGCCGCCGCGGGAGACGTGGCCTTCGGCAAGGGGACCCCCGCACCCCCTGCCGCCGCCGAGACCCTCGGGCCGGGCGGCGGCTTCCCTCCGCTGCCGCCGCCGCCGCCGCCCCAGCTGCCCCCTCTGGGCGCGGGTCTGGGCACCGTGGACGAAGGTGATTCTCTGGATGGACCAGAATACGAGGAGGAAGAGGTGGCCATCCCGCTGACCGCTCCTCCGACGAACCAGTAAGTCAGCTGGCTGTGTGCGGTTTGCGGGGCCGGGGACGAACGCAGCTGTGATTTGTTGTGTAAAGTTGCGAGGCTTCCTTCGTTTCGGTGTTGCACGCCGAACACACTCGGTCCCCAAGGGCGTGCTCTCCCGGGCGTCTCTGCGGGTTTAGTGCCCCTTATGGAAAGATGTAAAGTTGTTCCGATGGGACCCCGGGGCTGAGGTGTGTCCAGTGAGAACCGGATGTGGGTCTGTCCCCCACTAGATTGCCCCGAGCTCGGAGCTAACCCCAGGCAGGCGCGGTGGACGTGAACTTGTGTGTGTTCGCCGCCGAGCTGGCAGTGTGTTGGTGTAGCCCATTGGTCGGGATGCAGTGTTTCTGTTGGCGCCGAGTAACCCCGCTCTGCCCCCGCGGAGGCAGGTGATGCCGCCTGGTGCGCGGCTCGCCCAGGAGACCGTGGGTCGGGGAGCCGGAGCCGGGGCGCAGGAGTCACACGTGTGGTGCTCGGCCCTGCGGCCCTGGGGCTTGATTGCTGTAATTGGCACTGTTAATGCGCTTGGATCGCTTAAAAATTTCAGCAGTATTCTGCCTCAGAGTTTCTGTTGGTGGGCCAGTAGACTGTTCTGTTTGGAAATGTTAACATTTAGAATGTACAGGAGAAATGATTTTTTCAATATAACCTAGTGTCTCTTTCCTAAATTTGCATTTACAATGGCTGGCTGGCCTTGAGGTGGGGGAAATGTTGGAATGGGAAGGGAATATAGCAGGCAGAACACCCCTCCCCCCCAACTTCGCACACCAGTCTTCAATGATTAGGATTTCAGCAACCTTGGTGAATGTCAGGAAAGAAGGTTTGGTTGTTGTATGGTAGTGAGGACGATTCGAGGGTTTTTGTTTTATTTTGCTTTGCTTTTGGATATGCTTCTGTAGAAGATTTAGAAAACACTGAAAAACTAACGAGGACAAGATTCTGTATTACTAACACGTTTTTTTACTTTATGCTGTATCTTTTGATACTTAAGGTGGGAAAGTAGGGTTCTGTAGGCATGTTGTGTTCTTTTTGTATTATTCAGGGTTCAGTTATTCACTTCATGCCTTTGGCTCGCTCACTGTCCGGGGAATGTTGTGCTTTTATAGTACTACTTTCACACCTTCCAGTCTTTAGGGGAGAAATGACAGGGATCAGAGGTCACTACTACTGCAGAGATGATAATAAACAGATTTCTAATATTTTTTTAATCTTGAAAGGACCCAGTCTTACAACAGAATTGATTTAGGAAATTGTGGTTCAAAACCCGTTGGTATTTAGAACAACTTTAGCTTACATTTAAAATTGAGTGGAAAGTACAGAGTGCTCTTGTTAAACATAGGAAAATATGGGTTGATGAGAAGTATGCATCATTTTATGTACTTAGAAGTAAAAATAAAATGTTCTAAAAGTGCTCTGCACTGTTTTAACGGTTTGCCACTTTTTATTTTAGCCGTCAACCCAGAGCTGGGAGGCAATATGGTGGTGGTCCAGGCTGCAAATTCTGTAGTTAGATGAGATTTGAATTGAATTCCTGATGCTTGGCTCCTTTCTGGCTGTGTGATCCTGGAACCGTCAGTTTTCCCATCTGTGAAACAGGAATTTAGCCAGTGCTGCTTCCCACAGGTAGTTTTAAGGCTTAATGAACCTTGGACATATTCAGCACAGTAACCGACCCGGAGTGAATGTTTAATAAGTAGGCCCTCCTCCATGTGTTAGCAATGGTATTGTCAAATTGCCTACTGATTGTCGATGTAGGACTTCCCTGCCTGTAGCTTTTTGAAGAGAATGTTTTGAACACCGTAGTAAGCCAACCATGATTTTTTAAAAAACATTTTTTGGGATTTATTTATTTGCGAGGCAGAATTAGAGAAGAGGAAGGTGAGAGCAGTTGTCTGCACTGGGTTGTCTCAGTGAGCAGACCTGGCTGCCCCAGAACCAGGAGCCTGGGCCCGAGTCCGAGTCTTCCACAGGGTTGGCCTTGGGGCTCTTCGCTTTTCCAAGTGCATTAGCGGGGTGCTTGGTCGAAAATGGTGCAGCCAGAACATGAACCAGGCTTAATCCAGTATGCCATAACGCTGTTGTGGCACAACTGTGATTAATTGCATTTTTAATTTTCACTTCTTGAGGACTTCCAGCAGTAGGTTGACATTTTAAAGGAAAAATTCAAGTGTTCTCTATAAACTTAAATGGAATGAAAAAACCTTGATAATTTGCCTAAATTATAGCCTATCATCTGTAAAAGCAGGGATGGGAAATGTTTTGGATTTTTATAGCACCATTTGTAGGCCATACAAAGCTAGCAGCCTAAAAATCGGTTTGCTTTAGATTTTCTGAATTTGTAGTTCCACCTGTCAGTGCCTTGTGGCAGTGCCAGGTTAAATAATCTTGTGGGGTTTATATGGCCAGTAGACCTTAATGTGTCCCATGCGCCGGAAGTTTCCCACACTTGTGTACTGAAACAAACGTCCTTGGACTACATTAGTGTCTGCCTAGCAGTTACTGGTCACCTTGGGTCATAGGGTTGAGTCCACAAGTCGTTTGTTAGACTCCCTGATCAGGGAGTTGAGCCTTGTTGGCAGCCCAGGCTGGACGGCCCTGATGACAGGTGGGTGTGATGCGTGCAGAGGGAGCGAGGTTGGAGTGGGCGCGTGGACACTGTTAGCATTAAGGATTTTGTGTCTGGTTTTCTTTGAGTGGAGAATCCTCACAGTTCCATGCTTATTGCTGAATATGTTCTTCAGTTTGGTGAAGACTTAGTTTCTATAATTTTAACTGCTTAGTTGGGTATTTTTCTTTTTGCAAGATTAGAAATGTCTCACATTTTCTTCCTGTTGTGAGAGCTTTTGTATCTAAAACTAAGAAATGCAGTGTTTCTGAAGAGCCTTAGACTCTGCTGGCCACTGAGACGCGTGCTGAGGGAGCTGCTTTCAGGGTCCTTGTCTTTTCTGTTTTCTTCAAATGCGTTAGGGGAAAGAAGTATTGGACCCAGTATACCTTTCATTATATGGAGAGATTTTTAACTGTTAGCCTGCGGAAGCGGAAGTCCTTGGTAAGAATCCAACCAGAAGAGGTAGATGGCTCGCCCTTACGGTGTGTGGAACGTTGAGTTGTGGCTGGCGGCTGTCACTGAAACTACGTTGCTAGAATAAGTACAGTAGTGGTTGCCCCTTTCAGGCCCCTGGCTCTTCTGCTTGCCGTAGTCTCTGCCTTCCCTACCTCCCCTAGCAGTTGTCTGGCACCTGGAACAGTTCTTAACCTGGAGCTAAGAGGCTTCTCAAGCCTGAAACTTTAAGGAAAGCAACAAAGTAAGAAGTATTGACAGTATTCTTATTATTTTACTGTCTTCACAAAAATAAAATTGTTAAATAATTACTAAAAAAGTTAGGGCAGGTAGTATTCATTAACTTTGTAACCACGTTTGCATTCTGGCCATGGGTGAGTTTTTGTTTCTTAATAAAAAGGGGAATGAGTGACTGCTGAGCAGGGCTTTGATGTGCCTGGTAGGTGCTTCAGTGGTTACCAGGAGTTAGATGTCCCCTTTCTTAGTGAGTGCCTCTTCCTGGGCGGTTCAGGTCTATAGGCAGTTCAGTAAGTGAATTAATATGATTGCAGTTAGATGAAGGTAGCTATCATGGGGTTAAGTGAAGGAATCGCAAGAGTAGCAGGTGTCCTTTTCTTACTGCTGAATTTGTCTTCTGAGTAAGTGCTTTTTGTTTTAATTTCCTTTACTTAATGATTCCATTAGGTCCAAAGGAATTACTAGTTTAGTGAATATAAACTTTTTGTCCTTAGTGAGGAGTCTTTTCTACAGACTTCGCTGTTGAGGGAAGGCAGTGCCTGAAGCAGCGCTGAAGGCTCAAGCTGGTCTGGGTGGTTGGTGAGCTGAACTGGAGAATGCAGGCTGACGTTACTGACAGAGACATGGAGGAGGACAGTCTTGAGTCAGGAAGAAAGGGCAAATAAAGAATGGGCCCTTCTGGTTGGTTTGCTCCTGTTTCTTTGCTGGCTTTAGGAAAATGAGCAGAATATCTTCAAGAACTCAGCACTGAAACACCCCAAACTACCTTTGAGAGCAAAAAGCTTATAGTGATAACAGTAGTTTATTTCCACTGACTACTGTTGGTTGCTTACTACCTAATAAGAACATTCTGATTGCTTTGCGTATATTGTGTTGTACCTTTTGCTGTTAATAAAATACTCTACAACTTAACTGCTAAAGCGACAGCATTCATTTATTTGATCTTGATTGTAAAATTCAGGGCTGAGTAGAGACTGCTCAGTGTATCGTTGGTCGGCTGTAACATCCAACGTGGCTTTTATAGATGTGTGTGTGTGTATGTACATATGTGTGTGCACACATGCGTGACTATGTGTGTATTTGAAAGTCAGGTATGGAGAAAGACCTTCCATCCACTGGCTCACTCCCCAGATGGCTGCCACAATGGGCTGAGCCTGGTGGAAGCCAGAAGCAAGGCCATCCATGTAAGTGGCAGAGGCCCAAATTGGGCCATCTTTTACTGCTTTCAGAAGTGGAGCAGCTGAAACAAACTGTTGCCCATGTGAGGTGCCAGTGTTGCAGGTGGCAGCTTTTCTTGCTGTGCCACCACAGCACCCCCAGGGTAGCTCCTTAGATCCCTACCTCAGCTGGTTGCCTGGAGCAGCTGTGGGCAATTGGGCATTTCTCCATGTCCCATCCTTGCTGTGTCCTCTCCATGCAAAGAAGCTTGGAGTTCTTCAGCAATGGGGCTCAGGAGAGAACCGTTCAAGATTAGCCACTGTGCTCCTCATTCTTGCTTATGTTTCAAGGTTAGTGCTGGTCCCATGATCCAGTACTGATACCGGGGAACTCTAAAAATGGTGTATGTTGGGAGGTGAGCCTTCTTGAGGTGCCAAAGTAGAGTGTGTCACATATTGCTCACTTATCTATGAGTCCAGAAAATACTGGAACATTGTGGGATGGGAAAAAGGGTAGGTTTGTGTAAATT